CAAATTTGGGAAGATTTTTCTTCGTAACTCGGAGCTTGGAGATCTCAGGCTTCATTCTTGCAGCTCGAGTCAGAATTTGTCCCTGGATGGGAAGATGATCGCTGGTTACGCATTCATTTCGATCCACCCATGCTCTAGCGCCATTGATGTTGGTCCAGGCTAGGTCCAAGGTGTTACCAGCCTTATGCATAGGCTTCCCAATAATGAGATAGGATAGATCTTGTTGTTGAGCCCATCTGTCAATTTCTTCCCCTTGTCCGTGGATTCGTGTGGTGCTCGGTTGCCAGGCCCAACATACTGAGTTGAAATCCCCCGCTGCAACAGAGTTTGGCGGTAGATCCCGGTTAATGAGGGGCTCCACAGCCTGTAGGTTATTGGGAGCCTTATAGACGTTGAGGAACGTGATTCCTTTGACCACGACCCAGCAATAATCCACCGTAGGCGTAGCACAGGGAAAAACCTGTTCTGCAATTATTTCACTGTCGTTTTTCCGAGTGTTTGTCACCGCCCTCGGCCTAGACTGATCCTCACCATGTGGAATGTGACAATCATATCCCAGATGGATTTTCGTTGATTTGCTCTGTTTTTTCCACAGAGGTTCCTGTACAAGCAATACATCGACTCCCAACTCAAAAGCTCAGGCGAGCGCGATGTCCTGCGTCGGGCCTCCCCTTCCTACATTTATCGACATGATATTTAAGGTAGGAGGGAGACGGAAAGGGCCCGTGAGGGGCCCTTTACAAATTTTCTTCCCGATCAATCGCTTCTGGAGCCAGAGTTCCAGATGGCGAAGAATCGGTCATCAGCACTTCGAAGCAGTTGTTTGACTTGAAGCTCGTCTGAGCTTTTTTTTCATTTCCGAGGCTACTGATACTGCGGCTTCAGCGCGTCCAACAGCTGCTTTTGCTCCGGCAACTGCAGCAAATTCCCGTTTACTTGCTTGCCTGATCGTCTTAAGGTTCTCTTTGAATGCTGATCCAGACCTTGTAGGGCGAGCTAGATAGTCTCGACTGTCCGATCCGTGGGGGCCCCCACAGGTGCGACACTTTGTATATGCCTTACACTCTGCGGAGTAGTGCATGGTTGATGTGCAGTTCCAGCAAGCTGGGGCGCGAGAGCATCCCCGAGTGCCGTGGAATTGCAGGCATCGCTTGCACTGATTTATTGCCTGTTTAGGCTGGTGGCGAACTGCAATTCTAGAGTCGTCAAAAAGTCGGAAGCCCGGCCGAGGTACAGACGCTCTCTCAAAATGAGCTATCCATGTTTGGTATGGAGCTCCTACTCTCCCCTTTCCGTGTGTACGGACGCGGACCGGAACCGCCTTGGTGGTTCGAGTGATCTCATTAGCCACCATCTCCTCAGTAACTGTGATCTTGCCCAGCAGTGTGTATGGGGCCACTGGGACCGTTGCAATTCGGAGGGCAGCCAGATACGAGGTTGTCTCCAACTTAGCTTCAACCCTGTTGAATAATTCGGCAGAGTTTAAAAGAAGCTGACGTGCTTCTTCGTCTTTGGCTTGAATAGCGAAGCCGGTAGGAACACGGTACACATGTTCAATATTGGAGGATGTTATCTCCAGCAATTTGGTTACGGCTTCCCTCACGCCGACCGGCCAAAGAGCACGCCATGCATGTTCCTTGTCGAGATGAAGGAACAGGCGAGAGTCCTTTGGTTTTGAGGTCGCAGATTTTGTTGTCGGCTTGACCTGGACTGCTTGTTTATGAATGACTTTCACAGCCTTTATGGTGCTATCGACTCTGGCCGAGTGCCCCGGGCTACCGTTGCCCGGGTCGTTTTGGCCTGAGTTAATTCACGTTGTGTCTCCGGATTCTTTGAGGAGGTTCTTTCTTTAGCCTTTTCTGAAGGACACCTTGTATTATCATGGCAGCTCGGGCGCTGAGGTAGGATTGGAGGGGCCGCACTGGGTCCCGACTTCAAGAATTGAGCAATTGCTGCTCGGAGATATAGCTTCATCGATTCTATGAACGGATCGCTCGACTCTTCTGAGTAAAGAGAGACCGTGGTCTCGACAGCGTTGATCGCAGCAGTGCAGATCATTATATTTTTCGCCGCTTGAGTTGCCCTGCGCTCTTCAGCTTCAATTATGGCTTGTAATTCCGGGGGGCAGCCATTGATTTTTTGTTTCCTACTTTCACTGCAGGGAAGTTGTTGATTTTCAGTCGCCACTGATGGGGGTTGGTTGGCGTTCTAAGAGATTGTAGCTTGATTAGCCTTTTTTGACCTTGAAATTAGTGTCTGATTTAAAGCTGGAATAGCAATCTGCTTTGTCAATTAATTGACGGTGGTCTCAGAGACTGGACTGTCATTCTGATGAGCGACATACCATCGGGAACTGTTGAGTCCCTCTTGTATGTAGCTGTCTGTAACCGCATCACCCATTTCTTCGTCTGGGTTCGTCGAGTTAGAGTCTTCCTCGAAAGCTCTCATCCTTTCAGTCATGTCTGACTCCATCTTGTCTTGATCTATCGTTTCGATCGATAGATTCCTTGAATCCAGGCGCTATTGCAGCCTAATTTTTATTTTCGCCATTGCTTTAAGCTGGCGCGCGGGGCGGGTGATTTGGGGGGTTGCCACTATGAGAAACGATGTTACTAGCTTGAGTGATGATGATTTGAAGGATTGAGGAGACGATTGGGGGAATATTCATCGATTTCAAAAAATTGTGGTTGTTTGTGGGCTAGCACGACGTTAAATAATAATAATACAGTCGAACCCCTGTTAAAATGACGTAGTCGGAGCCGTGAAAAATATCGTCATATAGAGGATATCGCTGTAAAGGATGTCATTATCTAATCCAGCTATCTAGGCTACTTTGTACTTTTGATGCCTCTTTTATACTCCCATTTGCCGTCTTTAATCGCTCTAATACTCTCAATGTCAGGCCAGTTTCCAGCTCGCTGTCGTAGCGCAGTAGTAGTTGGAGCTTCGTCGAGTTTCGCAAAGGTCTTGCACAAGGACTCGGAAACTGTGGACTGGCTTAATTGATGGCCGTACTCAGCTAAGAACCACTCAATGCACTGTTTTTGTGTTAGTTTTGGAACCTATCGGGGCGCCCATCGTCGCAGAGCACGTCGTTGCTCCACAGAAATTCCCTTTTTTGGCGGCATTGATAGCACCAAGCTAGCAAAAAAACCCTGGTTAAGACGATATTCAGAGGTTGAAGAACGATAATCGTGTAATCGGTAAATGTATGGGAACGAAATCCGTTCCGGAAAAAATATCGTCTTAAGGGCAATATCGCTTACCCAGTATCGTCTTAACAGAGGTTTGACTGTAATAATAATCTCACTTTTCAAGCATACTAATCCATTAGGAACCTTATAGTGACCCTTCTGAAGCGTTCGAAGAGGCCGGCAAGCTAGGCGCTGTAGACTTGTGGGTAACCCGGCGAATTCACACTCTGCCTTCCTAGTCTCCTTCCAACTCCTTCCCGAATGTCGTGCTGAAATTTCAGAAAATTCTTGATAGAGTGTGATTGCTGTGTGTGTTGGAAATAGAGACACAGGGTGTTGTGGACGTACGGGCCCTCCATTTCGTCTAGGTTCCCGACACGATCTTGTGTGTGCTTAAGAGGTTGGAATGGGTAATATGGTAGCGCTTCAGGCTACCTGCTGGATACATAAGTGGCTGTACGGCGTGGGCACAAAGAGGTTATTGGGGGTTTACTATGCCTAGATAGCGCCACATTCGTTTATGCTGTGGCTTAGGCTACGTATCGCTTACACCTGTACTTGTAGCGCACATTTCCCACAGTTTTAGCTGTAATCCGAACATGACACTCTTAAAGTCAACTTCTAATTTCGTTTCCTGAATATTGTGCCCATTTAATTGCGCGATATTTCCAACAGTATGGTAACTTAGCCTACATTCTTTTGTACCGCCCGGGGCTCTAGGAAGTGCCGTTGACTCATTGACAAAAGAAGTCCTCCTGGCCAATTAGCCGAAAACTCGGTCTTGGCGCCCACAAAACATCTAAACTTGAAAAGACCTCGAAAAAATCATTCCCAGCATGGTCATCAGAGACCTGTTCCCCCTCTCGCTCCACATCTCAGGCGCCTGTTCTCCATCAAGTTGTTTGTCCCATTTGAGCAATAGTTCCCTGTAAGCCAAAACCCGGGCTTTGTATTTTCCGACTTGATCTCCTCCTTGCGGGTAAAAATAGCGTCGTAAGTATATAGTGAGAGATGGCTAGAAATTAATGAGGCAAGCTCCTGTATGCAATTGGAGCAACTTCTTTATTGGTCTTTGAGACGAGATGACGCGCGTTTAGAGAGAGGTTGAGGACTCAGATGAGAATGACATGAGAGGCATTGTCGAGAAGTCGAGAAGTCGTGAAATGGAGATATGATGAGGTTGCTTTCGACTTCGATTCGGATACGATTCTTCTTGGCTATCCCAGATATGCAAAGCATTCTGAGCGATTACACCAGCACCACTAGAAGGTGAAGAATTCGTCTTTGCCGGCAGCTAAAGCCAGAGAGCGGGTTGAGAATTAATGCGATCGTCATAAAGATTACATACTAGGTCATGTGTGAAGAAGTCATGAGACAGTAGATGTTGTGAATCCTCTTCAAGAAGGAAGGACTCATGTGCTCAGGAGTCTTGAATCACTGTCTCGACACACATAGCCTTGAGAGACAATTCTAGCCCCAATTTTTGAGAGATCGGCGCTGACCGGCCTAAACACTGTGCATGTCCCCGGCGGCCGAGGCTTAGAATCCGTATGGGTATGACCTCGGCACAGATGGCGGGGGAGGGGTTAATAATATTAGTTACAACGTGACAGCGGAATGCGCGATAATAACTCTATCAGGCTTTGCTATCTCCACATGGCATTTTTTCCCAAATTTTCTTGGCTATTGTTCATCCCACCCCTCTTCGTTAACTCATCTCTGCAAATCTCACAGTCGAATTCGCCTTTCTCGCCGGTCGGTTCTCGCCTTCTCAATTACCCAACTCCTTCCTGACTCCACTGCTTTATGAGTTGTGAGTCAACCACTGTAATGGATCCCATTCGAATCTTGCTAGTGGGCAATGTAAGTGATGGCCAATGTGTAGAATTCATACTTCCGCGAGCGCACGTCCTTTGACTCCACAAGAGACTATCATTGTGTTTCAATGGCCGTAGCTAACGTGGAATAACTGTAGGGGGGACGTGAGCATTGCCTTGCCTGGAAGCTTAGCCAGTCGCCTCGGGTCGAGGCTATCATCGTCGTCCCGGGAAATGCAGGCACTGAACTTTGTGCCAAAACTACCAATGTTACATCCGTTCAGCCCGATGACTTTTCTGGTCTTGCCGAACTCGCCCGGCGCATGAACATCAATTTACTAGTTCCCGGGTCAGAAGCGCCCTTGGTAGCAGGCATTGAGTCTTACTTTCGCGCCGTCGGCATTCCATGCTATGGTCCTTCCAAGCAGGCAGCACGTCTAGAGGGCAGCAAGACTTTTTCCAAGGACTTCATGAACCGTCACAATATTCCCACAGCAGAATATCGAAACTTTTCCGACTACGATCATGCTAAGAATTATCTCGAAGAAGTCCCCCACAAAGTTGTCATTAAGGCAAGTGGTCTGGCTGGTGGGAAGGGTGTCATAATTCCCGATAGCAAAGAAGAGGCAATTACTGCCTTGAATGAGATTATGCTCCAACGGGAGTATGGCAATGCAGGTAATGAAGTAGTTATTGAGGAATTCCTCGAAGGGGATGAATTGAGTATTCTAAGCTTCAGCGATGGGTACACTATTCGCTCACTCCCTCCCGCTCAAGACCATAAGAGGATCTTCGATGGGGACCAAGGGCCAAATACTGGTGGAATGGGCTGCTATGCTCCGACAAAAACTGCCACCAAATCTCTAATAGATGAGATTGAGAGAACAATTTTAGAGCCAACTATTCTTGGTATGCGAAAAGAAAGCTCACCATTCATTGGCACCCTATTTACCGGGCTGATGATAACAAAAAATGGTCCCAAGGTGCTGGAGTACAACGTACGATTTGGAGACCCTGAAACTCAGACTCTATTACCATTATTAAGCAACGACACAGATCTGGCAGAAATTATGATTGCCTGTGCAGGGCGCTATTTAGACTGTGTAAAAATCAGTATCAACCCAATGTTCAGTGCAACTGTAGTCATTGCAGCTGGCGGCTATCCCGGAAAATATTCCAAGGGGGCCCCTATCAAGCTTTGTGCACCTGTCTCGTCTACTTTTAATATTTTTCACGCAGGAACGACATCTCAAGATGGTCAACTTCAAACTGCGGGGGGAAGAGTGATAGCTGTCCAAGCTTTAGCCATAAGCTTGGAGCAGGCAGTAAAAAATGCATATGAATGTAAGTCTTTCCCATTCATTCGCTTGGATGGAAAATTTTATTCCTCACCAACCGAATCATCCCTAAGTCTCAATCTCTAAATGACAAAATATAGCTATTAAGTATGTGCAATTTGAGGGAATGTATTACCGTAAAGATATTGCTCATCGGGCCTTTAGAAACAATCAGTCGGAAAAAGAAGCTCTCACTTATGGTGCAGCTGGTGTGGACATAGACGCTGGAAATGCTTTTGTTGAACGGATCAAGAAAGCTGTAGCCTCCACAGCTCGCGCTGGGGCTGATGCTGAGATTGGTGGATTTGGAGGCGAGGTTGATCTAGAGAGGGCGGGATTCAAGGGAGCACCTATCCTTGTCGGCGCTATCGATGGCGTTGGAACTAAATTAATGATTGCTCAAGCGATGAAAAAGCATGGAACTGTTGGAATTGACCTCGTCGCCATGAATGTCAACGATTTAATTGTGCAGGGAGCCGAGCCTCTGATGTTTCTCGATTACTATGGGTGTAGTAATTTGAATCAAAGAAATGCGACTAGCTTTGTGGAAGGAGTTGCTAGCGGATGTCGAATAGCAGGTTGTGCCCTAGTGGGGGGAGAGACAGCAGAGATGCCTAATATGTACAAGCTGGACGATTATGATGTTGCAGGTGCTGCTATTGGAGTGGTTACATCTGACCTAAAGTTGCCCTTAAAGGATGGAATGGTAGCTGGAGACATATTGATAGGTCTTGCCTCGGATGGAGTCCATTCTAATGGCTTTTCGCTCGTACGCCGAATTGTAGAGAGGGAAGGCCTTAACTATGACTCGGATCTAGCGCCGTGGGATCAGTTTAGACTTCTCGGAGATAGTCTTCTCACACCTACGCGTATCTATGTGGCCTCGGTGCTCCAAGTCACTCGTCAAAAGCTTGTCAAGGGACTCTCGCATATCACCGGCGGTGGCTTGATAGAAAATATTCCGCGCGTGCTGCCAGTCCATCTAGCTGCCGAAATTGATTTGACTAGTTGGCCGCGTCCAGCAGTCTTTCAGTGGCTACAGCGAGCTGGAAACGTACCTGTGGAGGAGATGGCAAAGACTTTCAACTGTGGAATTGGCATGGTCGCTGTTGTGAGTGTGGAGAAGCTCGAATCAGTAGTTCAAGCTTTTGAATTGGCTGGAGAGACAGTTTACCGTATAGGATATTTAATACCGCGTACCGATAACGCACCGTGCAAGCTCATTAATCTTGAGAGTTGGGTATGAAGAAGTTGCGATGGTCAAGACTCAGTGTACATGTCCTCCTTCGAGGACAGTGGCTACTACCGCTCCGACATGGGCAGTTTAAGATGTGTAGCAATATAGCCTTGGAAATCTCGAGGTCAGGCACCAAAGGGCCCATGCTATCAGATACAACGTATCAGTTCTGCTCGCATGGTCCGAGTTCAATCTCGCCTCTCACATATTTCCACTATCTGGGCCTCAGAATCACGCCGTACTGCTACAGGCAGGCCGATCTGAATGTAATAGCTGAAAAATCTATTATTCGCACCCATTTGAGAAGGAAAATTCACATCTTAGCAAGTCATTCAGTGCACCATATCTACATACTTTTCTTTCCAAGAAATTCATCATCAGGTTTAGGTTATCCTAAATCCTATTGATGTAAGCTACCGTCTAACTGTCGTTTTCTTTCCCTTATGTTTGGATCTCTGACGGATTCCAAAACAATGTAAATACAAAACACGTTTAAAATCAATGATGTGCAAGTACTCACTACTAACCTCTCGATACCTCCGGTAGTTCTTGGTACATTTTTAAATTTTTTTGTTTTATGTCTAGACAGGATATGTAGATCCTCTGTGTCTCGAAGCGGATGCCTCTGCTTCGGGTAGTAATTCCCTCTCTAATTTCTTCACAACTCCCATAATACAGTTTCCCCCCTCACGGATCTTCTTTCAACCACACACGGAGAGGGACCCACGGCCAATATTGCGCAAATAAATGGGCGCATTATTCCTGGAACAAAAAGAAATTGAAAAAAAGAATGACATGCTCGCATTGCTCCCAAGTGAGTGGGAGATTTTCGCTATTAGTACAAGTCGAAGCCACAACATAACGATTGCGGCAACATCTAGTCAAGGAAAACCCCCAATAAACTCCTTGTACCCACGCCATACAAACGCTAATGTATGTAAGAATTTAAAAGCCCCGCCAATGTATACATCAGGTAGCCTGAAGCGCTACCCTGTCCCACATTATAACCTCTTCACTGTACGCAAGATGGTGTTGGAAAACTAGACGAAATAGAGCAACCGTAAGTTTGAAATACCGTATCTTCATTTCCAACAGAGCCCTTTGCTCCTCAGTAACCCCTTCAACCAGAAAAACGAAGGCCACTTGTCAGTGTATGGTTGAGAGGAGAAATGGAAATATCCAATGGTGGCACGGCACCCCTGATGCTGTCACTAGGACTGATCCCGAACTCAAGGCTTCTGTTCCGTCGCCTTTCCAGAGTCCGGTCAGCGTATCGGCGCACGCTTGAGTTTGCCCAAAGAGCAATTGTCGTTGTGCTAGCCTCACATTAAATATTTCGGTCATTCACGACTCCACAAAAAATCAGCATTCGAGTTAAAATGAAGGACTTAGTAGATTGGTATGGAGTGGCCAAGATGTTGAAATATAGAGTATAGAGATTAGTCAGATGATACTAAATGGAAGCTACTGACTAAGGATTAAGTTGTTGAGTTTTCTATAAGTTCTGGTTCTCTTCGTAATGGGAAGTTCGCAAACTAAAAACTAGTAGTCGACCTGCACAGGGGTCGAACCTGTAATCTTTTGACTCGAAGTCAAACGCCTTGCCATTGGGCCAGCAGGCCTCGTTGTTTGTACTTATCACATAAACGTTATACAAATTACGACTTTGTACAAGACCTTTTGTCTTTAGAGTTCGGTAATTAACTGATTTTATTCTGGATTGGTTCTGCTGTAAACCATCATCAATTGATCTAGCGATAGTTTACATGCTAATATTAGCGTCTACCAGATCCAAGAAGGTTCGTTTAATATCCGCACACTTCTGTGTTTATTAGAGAATTGGTTTTATAAACTGTCAAGAAATGTAGCCAAAGTTCTCCTGCTGTGTACTTCAAATCTCGCTGAAGCCAGGATTCGTGCAATATTTTTGCAATCATGTGGCTCGACCTCTTAGTATCAAGTCTAGACCTATTATATACCGAGTCCCCGTCGGATGTGGTGCCATTGACTTGTAAGCGGGTTATTATGTATTCGACGACGAAATGTTACGGGTATACTACCTTATGTGTGTAATTTCTGCGCCAGAGCGGTAGAGATGGAATCTAGCGTTTATTCAGCTATAGAGACTACCAATGGTGTATATTGAAAACGGTTGCTTAGTAATGGAGACTGTTATGATCGGCGTCAATAATAATCTCTTTTGTAAACAGCAAGACGTAGAAGACCTTCCGTCCCTAGACTACGTCTGTTACCTGATTTAATTCTGCACTTGCTCTGCTGCATACTGACATCAATTGATTCGGCGACACGAACATACCTGGGCTGGGAATCGATATTAGAGTAGCCGCGGCGAAAATAGCTCTTGTACCAATGAAAGCTAGCAGTCTGAAGTTGAGCCTTTGGTAAATGGCTAATAATCTCTTCTTGGTCTGTGATGAATAGAAGTTGCAGGTCCCCTATGCCTACCGACCAGGAATGCTTGATGTAGGGTAGCGCTCCTCCTACTTTTTTTTGCATCAGATTTTAGTTGCGTATGCAGCTATGTAGCTATGACACAATATCAAAGAAAAGTACAGAATAGATGATTCAACGTAAAGGAAGAGCTCTCATGCCTCAGATTTCATTTGCAGGTACCACTGCGAAGTTATGGTGGCTTTTTATTCACCCCAAGTCAACCCTCATCCGTGAATACACACCTAGGGGAACGTCTCAGAAACCTCGAGTTATCCAGACATACTTCCGTCATCTTTTGAATTTCCTCCGCGCGAAATGTGATCTTAGGTGTCTCCTTAAATGGAGTAGGTGCCCAGCCTACACAAACTATACCAGAGAACACCACCAAGAGGTAGATCACAGTACCTTCCATCGTTGACTTGAGTTTATAGTGTGAGCCGTAGTCTCGCAATCGAGGACTTGGCGCGCACAATGCTCTTCAATCTATTAAACTCCTGACTAAATTTCTAATGTCACGGAATGTGGTCGTGGTCTAATCGAACGAACGAAATATACGAAGTTTATTCTGATTTCCTAAAGTAATGATAACTCATGAATAACTACAATGCGGAATAAGAGCTTATGGAGAGGAAATATATTTTTACAGGGGTATGACTAAGCGGACCCTGAGGCCAACATTATACATGGGCCACACACAGTGAACGGCAGGAGTTTGTGCACTAGATCCTGTAACATCTACAGTCTCTTATGGGTGGCAAAGATAAAATTGTCAAAATGACTGGGGTTAGATCCCTCTACGTATTGCCTTAATTGGTATGATCTTCATGTAGGCCCATGTCTAGTTACTCGACTAGTTATGCAAGTAAGGGGTACTATCCAATGACATTCCGTGAACGTCTAAATTATGGGGATGGTTTTGAACTCAATGGGAAAAGTACAATAGTCCTCAGCTGAAATTCAAAATTGAAAAAAAGTCAATTGATGTTCTCTAAAAATGCACATCTATTTCAAAAATTATTGCTCCGTATTATAAAAGTCTACATGGAAGCCCTCAGTATGGCTCGCAACTAAAATGAAAGTGTACTACATGTTTTGTGTGTCTTCTCCATCCTAATACTTTGTGTACCCTCCATTTGCCTTTATCAGTGCTACACATCTTTCGTGCATGCTGCCAACTAGTGACAATAGCTCTTCAGAAGCTACAGTGTCCCATGCATCCTGTAGGAATGTCTTCACGTGGCAGAGCGCACAAGCCTGACCCCATTTTTCTCAGGACTGTTTACCTGAATGTGGTTTTTTAAGATGTTCCACAATGACTCGATCGGGTTCAGGTTCGGAGAGTAAGGTGGCCATCTAATAGGCGTTATTCCAACTTCACGCAGCACCCCAATTGTTGAGTACGCTTTATGACATGGTGCGTTGTCGTGCATGTATAGAATTTCTGGATTATCTGAGTGAAATTGATTTAAAAGTGGAAAAATTCTTTCACAAAAGGATGAGGACCTCATTGATCCCCAATCCTTCTCCCAGACTAGGAATGGGCCTTTTTATGATCCGTAAAATGATCCCCAAAACATCCAGCTGTTCCCATGAGTATGGCGAGCCACAATACAAGTCTCATCAAACTCATCATCAGGCTAAACTCTGCTGATAATACAAGGAAGATTTTGATAGAATTTAAATGTACTTTTCTTGTCACACAAGGTTTCATATGACAATCACCCGATACCCAGGTTTCATCAGTCCATAATATGCGACTCCATTGTTCATTGCTCCAATCTAAATGTAATTGGGCGAACTCCAATCTTTTCTGCATGTTCACCGCGCTTAACGGAGGCTTCTTCCGAGCAATGCATCTGCTGTAACCTCTTTTTTAAAGTGCATTAGAAATTAGACGTTCACTGCATCTCCAGTGGCTGAAGGGCCCCATAGCTAGTTCCAAATAGCACATCTGTCGATTTTCTGGAGACTCCCGGACGAAAGCCTCAAGCTCATCAACTTGTTCCGCGCTTAATTTTAGTAAGAGTTCTTTGCGAGACATAGGATTCTCAGTCTCTCGAGCACACGCAAGTAGTACTTGTCTTATTGTGAAGCCAAGTTTGTTGGATATATTTTGAAGTGTCAAGCCAAGTCTTCTTAATGCTCTTATTTCAATACATTGATCACGAGTTAGATGCTTGCGAACTTTAGTTTCTGAAGCAGACTTTTCGAGAGACATTGTTTGCTAGAATAGAGGATGAATTGATAGTGGTGAGAAGTTTCAGTGGCTGTATGGGCTTGGCAGCCAAAAATGTCGTTGAAAATGTGTTTTACTAAGCGATTATTAGAAGAAGACGATTGGACCATACTTCATGGCGAGCGGGGTAAGGAGGAGAGACATACTAACCTATTACGAGCTGGCCCAACTGCGCCTACAGGGCTAATCCCTTCAACGACCCAGTTTGAAGTTTTACCTTTGTTTTTTTTTTAATCATTTAATGTGTATTCAGCTACAAAGCTATGACACATGACCGGTGCTATGTATACACGTTGGATGACTCTTTTGACGTTAGAGA